TACTCTTTTAACTCATCGCGTTACGAATCGAAATCGGAGTTTTGATTCATAATATCCCGCCATTGTTTGGTCTCGTGTCCTCGGCTTTTCTGGGCATTTCGTTTTGATGGTCATTTCGTGTATAATGCCAAGTCATCAACCTTATTTCATCTTCTTAGTGACTTGGTGATGCTGATTCTTGATTTTTTTAGCTTAGGATGCACTGATTTGGAGTCACAAAGTGTTTTGTTTCGTTATATGACTGTGTTAGTTTCGAATGGTAGGGTGTAGATAGCTCCAGCTTTGTAATGGTTGCATTTGGAGAAGAATAACACCATTTTTTGTTTGCACTGCAGGCTGATTCGGTTTATTACAAGCTCGAGTGCTCATTCTTCTGGAGAGAGTGAAGTCGAAGAAGATCTTATGATGGATTCTGCTATTGAAATTAGTTCAGGTAGCGATGACGATGAGGTACCCGAGCCCATTATGGAAGAAACTAGAACCAGGAGGAATCCTACGTGGCTTCGTGGTATAGTTTCTGCTATATATTTGTCTCGTAGTGCTGGTTAGTTTGGTAGCTTTATGGACTAAATGGCTATGCTGCTGTGTTTTCTTTTTTTTTTTTGCTTGCAGGAAACACTAACTATCTTCATAGGAGTTCCCCTGCAGGGAATAGTCATGCTAAATCTGCGCATACAAGTAATGCTTCTCGCAGTGGGGCCTCTAGTTATACCTCTCGGCCAGGAGACTCTAAGCAATTTATGGGGAATGCGAACGTTGTTAACTCGAGAGTTTCCAATGCTTCTGGTGTAGATCATGAGAAGCTGACTTCTCAACAAGCTCTAAAAAGAACCCTTCCACCATCTTTTAATTTGCCTCCTCTTCCTTCCAGAAGTGCTAACAGTAGTAGTAATGGAATCGGGGGTCGCTTTGGTGCGGATTATAGAAGTCCGGCTGTGTCTGTTGTAGGCAACCAGAGTAACTTTGGTGATCGTTTCAGTGGAGCCCATACTGAGGCAGGAATTCAGCGTGGCATTAATGGGGTTAGGATCCTGCCTCCATCTCTGACGCATGGAGCATCTGCTTCTCCTTTGCATTTTGCTGGTACAAGTGATCCAATGCACAAGAGTGGCATTGGTGGAGATAGGAATTCTGAATGCGATGAGAGACTGATCTATCGGGCTGCACTACAGGTATTCATCCTCAACTCAATCTTCTCTTTTTAATGGACTTCAACATTTAGCTGTTCTTTTGTACTTGCATGTCTCGTGCCCCTTGTACCAGCTTTACAGTTTTATGGCTCTTTTGAATATCTTGATATGATTGTAATTCTGAATCTGGAGCAATAAATTATTACTCTAAATTCGGCTCATTTTGTTGGTTAAAATTTCGGGATTTTGATGCCTCAATGATGCTTGAGTCATACTACCATGCTGAATCTGTTCAATTTTAGTGAATATGGGGCAATAAATTATTACTCTGGATTCGGCTCATTTTGTTTGGTTAAATTTTTTCAGAGATCATGCGACATTCAATGATGGTTGAGTCATACTACCATGCTGAGTCTATTAAATTTTACTCTGAGTATCGTAATTATGTAATGAGCTGCATTCTTTTTTTTCATGTTTGAGAAATAATGATAATTTGGATCACTGACTTTATGTGCAGCATTCGTTGTGCATTATAATTATGCGGAGAGCTTGGTGTTGTTCCATAACTAACCTAATATTAAATGGCATGTTAAGTACAAATCTGATAAGCAAGTATTTTTTATCCTGCAGGGTCTGAATCAACCCATGACCGAAGCCGATCTACGTCCTGGTACTCTTTCAGTTCCTCTTATGAGGCATCAGGTATTGACATGTTTTAATTTACCATTTATTGGCCTTTGGAATTGCTCTGTGTACTAAATACTATTGCTTTTCAGAAAATTGCATTGGCATGGATGTTTCAGAAGGAAACTAAAAGTTTGCCCTGTGCTGGAGGGATATTAGCAGATGATCAGGTTACATTTAATTAATTTCTTGCCCATAAATATCTGTGATTTTATTACGAGGATGTTCCCTCAAACTATGTAAAGTTATTCTGCAGGGACTTGGTAAGACAGTCTCGACAATTGCTCTTATCCTTAAGCAAAAGTTTGAGTCACAATTGAAGTCCAAAAATGCAAGCAAGCAAGAAGCTGAAGCATTGGTCCTGGATGATGATGATGAGTCAGAAAATGCAAAGCATGAAAGTGATAGTCATGTAAAAACAGAGCTCAAGGCTTCAAGCAATAGTGAGACAACGGTTCTAAGTGCTGGTGATAATGATGAGAATGGCAGTTCAGATATGGAGAAATCCAAAGATGAAGAAGTGAGTACTTCAGCACGGACATTTAAGAGTAAGAGACCAGCTGCTGGTACATTAATTGTTTGTCCAGCGAGTGTTGTAAGGCAGTGGGCAAGAGAACTTGATGAGAAGGTTTCTGATGAATCTAAACTTTCTGTTTTAGTCTACCATGGTGGTAATAGGACCAAAGATGCTATTGAATTAGCAAAATATGATGTGGTTGTGACAACTTACGCCATTGTTACCAGTGAAGTTCCCAAAAAGCCCTTGGTGGATGACGATGAGAACGATGAAAAGAATTCTGAAAAACATGGTCTCGCCTCTGGCTTCTCCAACAATAAGAAACGGAAATTTGCGGTGGGTGTTAGTAAGAAGAGTAAGAAAAGAGGTAGAAAAGACATTGACGATTCTTCTTTTGACCCTGAATGTGGTACTCTAGCACGAGTTGTGTGGTTCAGAGTAGTACTAGATGAAGCTCAGACAATCAAGAATCACAGAACACAAGTGGCAAGAGCCTGTTGCTCGCTTCGAGCCAAATGGAGGTGGTGTTTGTCTGGAACTCCAATACAGAATACGATTGATGATTTATATAGCTATTTCAGGTTTCTTAAATATGATCCGTATGCCGTGTACAAGTTCTTTTGCAATACACTCAAGTTTCCAATTTCCAAAAATTCTCTTCATGGTTACAAGAAGCTTCAAGCTGTTCTAAGGGCTGTAATGCTACGCCGTACCAAAGGTACACTGATCATCTCTCTACTCTCTTAGATGGCAGGTTGAGTGATTTCTATGCTATCTTGACACTTTCTGATTTTTATCTATAGCTTATTCTATAATGAGAGAGTTAAGTTCTCCGGTCGAGTGGTTAATGAAATATGAAATTTATCCTGCCATTTTTGCATTTTCCCTTTTCATTTGTATCTCTTC